TGTCCTCTGCCATGGCAGTATGTAATCGTTCCGTTCTGAACTTATTTGACCAATTTGATTGGTAAAAAATACCGTAAACAACTAGTGATGACGAACTGTTGCTGAAAATGATGCTGCATGATGTAAATTTGTCTTGATGTCACAGTTCCACCGTCTAGATGCACCCATCCACGCGTGCTTGAATAATAAGAAACAATCTCAGTTGCTTTGGCCGTATGAAATTGGTTCGAAGAACGACAAAAGCTCTAGTATTGGGAGCTTGTCGCTTATATTTTCAGCGAACATCGGTCGACACTCCATGCAAACGTGTCAAAGGACTCACTTGACATCGACAACGACCGCGTCGGCGACCAGGAGGGCATCGAATCCCCATAAAGCAGTCCCCAGGTTTGTTGCACACTACGATCCCCTGTGGAATCCGAGCCTGGAGTCAGCTGTTCCTGGAGGTTGTGTTTCGCAATATCTCTCGCTTTATGCCTCTCCACAAACTCCTGACAGGGTCGACAGACGTACAGGTATCTCTTCTTGACCAATAGCTTCTTCTTTTTCTTCTTCGGATGGCGCTCCAGCTCTCTCAAAACTTGCTCTTCGCGACAATTCGAGCATACGGGGGCTAGACAAAGTACGCAATTTTTCTGGTCACTGCTACGGCTACGAACAGTCCGTCCAAATACCAAAGAACACAGCGAGCAATTCATCGAGCGTCCGGAGAGTTCGTTCACCAGGCCCCGACGTCGCGCACTTTTCATGTTGGCAATACACCACTTCAGTTTCTTGTGTTCAGCAAGCACAGGTGATTGGAAGAAGCCCAAAAGACCTTGCCAAGTCGAGGAGATCACGAACGAGTCGAAAACGTTGCCCATGGCTTCCAAATACTGCTGCATGTACACGTCCACGGTGCCATCTTCCTTTTCCCGATACAACGCACCGAGTATGAATTTGCCGCGAATCATGGGTTTCGGTTGTGGTGGACATTGTGGCAACGGGGCCGGTTGCAATAAATCGTATCCAATCCGCTCCCCATCAGCTGTTGTAATGACCCCTGAGGCCGAAAGCAGCAAAAAATCTCGAGGCTTTACCACCTTACTCACCAACCACGGTAATTGACTCACCATGTACAAGATGGACAAATTCTGAAACGGCTTCTCCTCCGTCGGACCCACGAGTCTCGCGAGCATTGCACCGCCAATATCCATATTTCCGAGCGTCGCCACCCGGACTTTGAATGATTCGAAAGTAGGGATCGAGATACCCAGCATAACCTCGTCAAGAGGTGCTGGGATAGTCCCGACCATCATGAGCACGATGGGGTCATCCCAGCAATCCTCGGGGAGATGCAGATCGCCTCTAATGTGGCGAATGCGTTCAGAGTACATCGATGCATTCTCTTGTGTTTTCTGTAGTTTCCAGCGCGCGCTGTCGAGGTTCGCGTGGTGGCGAGGCGTTATACCTGCCAGCCGCTCGTCATAGCTGTGTAACGTTCGCTCTAGTAATTGCAAACTAAGATCATGGCAATGCTGCTGCTCCTCGAACGTCAATTGCAGCGGTAGGAACGGAGATTGGTCCGACAGCACATCGTCGTCCTCTGCCATGCTGGAAACGCTGTCAGTTGTTTCTGACTTGATTGGGAAGCCCTAAACTGGCACCTTACAGTACAGAACCAATGACGTACTGCAACGTGCCAGTTTAATGCCAATGACTTGCCCAAATGGAGACTTGTGATTGGGTAACGCGCATTTCACTAGTGCATGAGCGTGTCCTTGCTTCAGAATCAGTTTGGGACGATGGCAATCAAGACACAGAGAGTTCGCGTTGGGATCATCGGCGGAGGCGCAGCGGGCATCAGTGCGTTGGCTTATTTGCATTGCAGTTTCTTAAGCGAGTAAGGAGTAATTTTTTGGAATTGTTGCAGTTACGGCCAAGTGTCTGCGAGATGTAGGGCACGAGGTGGTTGTGTTCGAGAAGGCGGCGAATGTGGGAGGTGTGTGGAAGTACGACGAGTTAGCTGATGCCCCGTCGTCGGTGCTGTACAAGTCACTGCACACGAACCTACCGACGGCCATCATGCAACTCAAGGAGTTTCCGTTCCAGAAGGGAGTGCCCAGCTTCCCGTCGCACGTGGATGTGCTGACCTACCTGCAGAACTACTCGAAGCACTTCCAGGTGGACAACGTTGTGCGTCTGAACTCAGCGGTGACGAGTCTGTCAAAGGTTTCGGGGCAGTGGAAGATTGGCGTATCGTCGGAGGAGAAGGGCGACTACGAGGAAGAATTCGACCGCGTTGTCGTCTGCAACGGCCACTTTTCCCAGCCTTCACTTGCCCCGATTAAGGGCATTGAGCACTACAAAGGCACTGTCTCCCATTCACGATCATACCGCACACCGGAGTCGTACAAGGGCAAGGTAAGGGGCCTTTACAAGTGCCGTGTGTTTGCCTTGATGAGTAACATGAGGCTCATGCTTTTTGGTACAGCGTGTTGTAGTGATTGGACGAGGACCTTCGGGCCAAGACATTTCTCTTGAGCTAGCCAGGAGTGGAGCTGCGGAGGTGATTGTTGCAACACTGGACTATGACCCGAATGCTATTGACCCCCAAGATTCGCGTGTGCTGAAGCCTGCCATTGACCACATCGCTGAAGATGGTTCCGTGGTGTTCACGGATGGGTCAATCATTGCTTCGCCTGACGAGATCATGCACTGCACGGGATACCTGTACACGGTGAAGGATCTTTTCCCGTCCGAACTGCTTTTCCCTAAGGCCTTTGTCCAGCCGAACGGTTTAAGCGATGAGATTGCTGCGGACCTGCTGCAGTGCACGACCAACGGAACTGCTGTGGCTCCAGTCTACAAGCAGTTGTTTGCTATCGAGGATCCAACGGCTGCTTTCGTTGGACTTCCTTTCAGCAACCTGCCGTTCCTGTGCTTCCAGCTCCAAGCTCGATGGATTGCGCGCGTGTTTGGTGGATCCGCTCTCCTTCCCTCAAAGGAGGACATGTATGCGGATTTCTTCGCCTACCTCGGCACTCTGAAGGATGGTGTGAGGAAGCTGCACCAACTGGGAACTCGCCAAAAGGATTATTTTACGTACGTCTTATTTATGTGTACTCATGGTTGCTTGAATTCTAACGAGTGCTTTATAGTGAGTTGGCAGCTCTTTCCAACTTCGAAGTAGGGGAAGAAATCCATGAGATTTATGAGGACTCGCGCTTCTTGCGTCAAAACTTCCCGTACGCCTACCGCACTGCCGAATTCCAACAGGACAAAACCACAGGGAAGTGGGTTCGCCGCATCAAGTCAAGTGAGCCACCTTCGGAGCTTGTGGCGGAATTCTCGGGTTGACCTTCCTGTCCTCTCATTCCAATGACGTTGATTCACTGTGACACACTTTAGATCGTATTTCTGAAGTAAATCTCATTGCTGTCGTTAAGAACATGACACATCTTCGAAATGATCGATAAATTTGTTATGGTACTGAGTAGATACTACGAGGTGGCATGTTGGTGGTTGTTGAACTGTGACTCGGCGCTTCCAGCCCACATTCTTAAGAAACTGGCACCTCCATTACGACGTTGCATGCAGTCTTCGCGGGCAGCCACACGGTGTTCCCGTTCTTGCAGTCTGTCGAGATAGTAAAACCGTTCACCAGCGACTTTACGTATGCTTGCGCGCGTCTTCCAGTCCTTCAGTCGTTCATCTTGAGCTTGTGCTTCCTCAAAGCCTTGTAGTAAAACTTGCGTTCGCTCGTATCGTGTAGTGCGTCGCGTACGACGAGCGTCCTCCTCAATTGTGGTCGAGGGTTTACCGGCTCTCATGATGAGGAACGAGTCATTTACGTCGTCACCCTTTTCAGATGGAGGCGCACGATAAAGAGGACTATAGGCCTCGCTACTTGTAGTTACGAAGCGATCCTGTGGCGATAGATACAGTCCTGTATCGGAGCTGGTGCCATTACCTCCCACACCAACTCGAGTCCAATCGGTGCGCTCACGACGTCGATGATAAAATCGATCAGATGAAACAGGGGACAATACAGCTACGGTAGGACTTCCTGTTGCACTTGACGTTCCAGGACGACGATCAATCTCAAGCTGAAGTGATGATTGTGACGGTGGCAAGGTGGCTTTTCCAGATTCACCTTTCGAATTGCGAACAGGAGATGCTACACTGTTACCAGCATTGATGATCGCAGCAGTTCGCTTACTTAGCTGTTCTGGAAGACAGGTTCCCGGAGTTATATCCCTACCGTCGGGGGTCTTCGGAGGTTCTTCTTTCTGTAGCATTGCGTTCTTCAATTGAGCAAAAACCGGGTCAACTTCTTCACGAGGTGTAAGATCCACTGTACGCTTGACATGTAAGGCTGCGAGCTCCTTCTTGCGTCCGTTGTCTATCATATCTGTGGCCACATCACGCTCCCCGGCAGCAAAATATCGTACGAACTCACGGAGACTGATCTGCTCGTCACCATTTTGGTCCATCAGCTGCAGCATTTCACGCATTTCATTCACAGCAATAGTATCTTCTAACTGTAAGTACCCCGGACCCAACGCGTGCTCCACTTGGCCGTAGGATAGAAGCCCATCATTATCCGAATCGACATTCTTGAAAGCATATGCGAGGAGCTGTTCAGGTCTACCACCACGCACGCCCATCGCAAGTCCATGCTTTCGGTGCAGCGCATCGGTCACTTGCTTGCGAAGCTGCGTCATTCGTCTCCGTGAACGTGGCGACAGCTCTAACGGAGTGTGGTATTTAATTGCCATTGACGAGCTAGGATCTCGCACTTGTCCAACTGTTGGGTTAAAGGCACTGATAACAGGCATGGCGGTACCAATACTAGGCGAAAACATTTGAACAAACTCTTGAAAAGCCACGGTATTGTCGCCATTGACGTCTGCAGTTCGGTACAGTGCACGAGTCTCATCGGGTGACAGGTCTACCTCAGCAGCCTCCACCATGTCATGGAAGCGTTGAGCCGAAATCATACCGTTTCCGTCATTATCGAATGCTCGGAAGACTGCACGCATCGACCCGTACTTCTCCATGAATACATCATACAGCTTTGCACGATTGTGAGCCAACAATGTCTTCTCCTTGCTATCGGCACGACTCATCTTTGGGGCAGGTTGACTGTTTCTTGCAGGTGAATCTTCTTGAACATTGTTTCCGCTCTGTAGGTTAGAACGTTCTGCTTTATCGTGTGTGCTCGACTTGGATGTCACTTGCTTCAGCTTTGGTGTTCCGTTGGCATCTTTGACACCTCGACGTTCGTCAGTGCTTCTACTACTGTTGACTGGACCCAAGGCGTTCAATCGTCGGGCCTCTGTTCGCAGAACGAGGGGTTTGACCTTGACTGAATCGTTAGTTCGCTGGTGGGCTGGGCTGCATCGTTGTGGTGAGTCGAGGGTAGATTTCATCGCTGAAATGTTGGTCTCTGCGAGTCGATCGGACACAACCGAGTTATTTGCTCCAGGAGATGCGGGACTGGGTAGGCTGTTGGTCTCCGCACACTTCGATAAGTTGGTAGTCCCAACTTGTAAACGCTTGCGTTGTCGAGCTGGAAATTCCGTATGATACTTTCCCGGGCTCCCAGCCCCTCCCATGGCGGCGAATCCTACCGACATAGTGGCGGTGCGTTGGGGCGACTTGGGACCATCGGGCGGGCAGCGAAAGTTGTTTCGCTGCAAAGGTGAAGACATTGCACCTGCGAGACGCCAAAGCACACTTGCCACGACCTTGACAGTTGACCCCCCCCCCCAAAAAAAAAAAAAACACTGTTGTACACCTAAAAATACAAGACCAAACTCGCTAATTTAGACGTTCATTGCTGCCTGACCTTCGTCGATTGGCTTTCTTGTTTCTTGGCCATATCTTCATCTTGTCTCGACGAACACCAGCTCAGTTTGTTATCGTATTCGTCGGAAATCATGTCATTCTTTTATACGTAGCCTACATGTTTCCGCACATCTTGGTTACGGCTAAGAAGTCGTAGCCACCGCTGTAGATTTAGCAGGCCGTTTTCGTTTACGCTTTTGCGGCGTCTTCTGTTGATCACTCGAGGATCGTAATACTGCATTATGGTGACGTTGTGCTTGCATTTGTGACGCAGCGGTTGCTCGATTGGCCTGTCGCTGTGGAAATGATCGCTCTAATCGCCTGGCGAGATTTTGATCATATCGCACGCGAGCTCGGTGGGCACGGGTGGGACCAACCGAATAGGAGCGTGTCCCGTCAGCGACACCTTGAGGCAATATTCGACCTTCGCTGGCCGCGATCCATTCCACGGTGTCCTCAGACCACAGCGAAAACCGCATCAGCACAAACTTGGAAATTCCCAGTTTGTTTTCCGAGTAGATTTCCACCACTTCGCCATAATTCCAACATCCGTTCCGGTCGAGTACGTCAACTACGTCGCCCACGCTCAGTCCTAACGCAAATTCCACCGACGCTGCCACAGCCCATGAGCAATTATCCGCGATATCATGGCGTATACTATAGGCAATCATATCGTGCGGAGCACTATTGATTGGTTTACGAGTTGGACCAGTACCAGGAGGTGCAGTAGTATCCGCATTGGCCTCCTCCGGAGGACACAACTGCAAAAACACTTCTTCCAGCTCTCGCGCAGCGGCTGCTTCGCCCTCTAAGATTGGTGCACATTCGATACTGCACGCTGCTCGTTCGTAAACGAGCTGGGCAGTTCGCCAGTTATATATGGACAACGAAATCAACTTTCGCATCGAAGCAGCTAGCGCCTGCGAGATTTCATCCTCTTCCACACAGTTGCCAAATGATGGTAGCTCATCAGTAACCTCGCTGTTGGAAATAGTCGCACGAAGTTGATCACGAGCAGTTTCACTTGTACTTTCATCATCTCCATCGCTTGGATCAGCTAGTTCATCCGTTTGCTGTAGTTGGAGCTCATATTGTCGTTGGTGATGTCGCTTCATCTCCTCTTTCGAGCGCGAAGGAACTTTGGTCCGATTTACAGATGCAGGGTGCACAACTGAAAAATCAGCTACTTGATTCTTGCGGAGCTTCCAAAGTCCTAAAGACGCCGGATGCAACTGATGAACAGGAAAAATAGATAAAACTTCTTCCTCAAATACAATCTCATCAGCACTCATGTCCGAAGTATCATCTTGCAGTCGTGTAGCTGGGGATAGTTCAGTATGATACGCCTTCACTCGCTCCTCCAGACGACCTCTGAATTCCTGAAAGAGGTCATCGTCGTATCCATACACCAAGTCACGATGGGAGTCTAGTACCGAGCTGTCCGTATTGACAGTCGCTCTGCGCTTCTTGATCACTTGACTTTTGACATGATTTTCTCCTACTGAGTTATCGCGTTTTTGTTGATCAAGAAAGTCCTTCTCTTCCCATACGTCACGGTAACTACGTCCCCGACGGATGGGGATATCCACATGAGCCGTCGACGCATCTGAAGCATCTGCGAGCATGGACTCTATTACTGCACGCTTACTCTCCATCCCTGACACGCCACGCCATGCACTTGGATTTGCCGCAATGAAATCGGCGTTCTCCTTGCGCCATCGAATCAAGTTTTCCAAGTCGCTCTGTACTAAAGGGTCAAAGTAAGGGTCAACATCCTCCCACCGCCACGGTTCACCTTCGGACGTTGATGGATACAGATGCGAAGCGTCCGTATCAGGATATACCGGTGATGGAGGTGCATTCTCGCCGGAGTCAGCTTCGACTCCATTCTGAGCTGCATACCCGTTCATTGAAATGCTGATTTTGTCTTCTAATGCAGGTGATGCAGGGGTTTTGTTCTGCTCCTGCCTCGCGTTGGTCGCTGCTTTGCTTCGTGGAGCTGAAAAACTCAATTTCTTCCTGCGCTTCCTTCTTCCGACGGTACGATTCACCGAGTTTGGTGTCACTGAATCGTCTGCTGTCACCGACGCAGGTGTCAAAGCTGTATCTGCTGGTGTTCCTGGGGTAGGCGGCGCTGGAGCTGGAGTAGTAGGAGTCGCTGTTGTAGTTTTGGATGCTACTTCCAACGATTTATTAAATCTACGAGGTGGAGAGTCGGGCATCATCTCCTCGGCGCTTCCATCGCTTGAAAACGGACAAAGTTCGATAGGCACTTCGTCGTCTGGGAACACCATATCGATGCCAGTATGGACTGCTGGAGAAGGCACTCTTTCGAGTACTGGCACTGATACTGGTATTGGTACCGGTACTGATACTGATACTGGTACTGATGGAGGTACTGATCCTGATGTAACTCCCTCAGTCGTTAATGCCGTATCGCCTTCCTGCTTCTCTTGCTCCTCAGCACGTTCGCCATTAACCTGCACTTCCTCACCCACTGACTCTGTCGTCGCTTTCTCTTGTTCGTCTGGTTCTTTAATCCCATTCGAGACAATATCACCGTCTATCTGCTCTTTCTCAGCCTCTTTCTCATTTTCCACATGTCCGTTCTCCTTCGGAGCTTCCACTTTCTCTTCGCTCTCCTGCGTTTGCTCTTCGGACACAGCAGCTCCGTTTTCCTGCGGATCTCGCTTTGCTTCACCACTCTGCGTTCGTCGTCGCTTTTTGCTGGGGCTCACACCGTCACACACGCAAATATTGTCGTCAGAATGATGGTCCTTCGGCATCTGATTCGATTTCTGAGGCTCCTGCGCTGCAGCCGCCACCTCGACCTCCGTGGCGTGACTGACAGCGTCTTTCTGGCTCGGTGCGCTGCCCATAACTAGCGAAACTTCCGTCCAGCGCAGTTGGGGGGCACTCTCTTCAACTAACTAAGCTCGATCCGCAATTAGTGCCGCCCAGCGCTTGGTCAAGCGCCCTCAAAGCGTTCCGTCCCTGAGGTCTCTTTCGATCGTGGGAGGGGCCCGAGTTTCTATAGTAGTCAATACTTTAATCAAGTCAAAAGCCAGTATCATTACTCATCGTGAAGATTACTATTCCCCACTAAGTACGAATCTAGAGCAGATCCACCACGTCGGACTTGGCCTTCTTGCTTGAAGTCGCATCGTCTTCAGTTGTATCCCTACTGCGCTTGTGCACTAGGACATCCATGGGCTCGACCTCCTCGAAGTAATCATCGTCATCGTCGTCTTGAGCAGAGACAGCAGCCTCTTTGAGCGCCGCCTGTTTCTCCTCCTCCACCTTCAGATCTGCTGCTAACTTAGCGATGTCGCCTCCCAGCGCGAATAGCTCCGTCGCCTCCTCTCCGAACTCTTCTTCGTCGCGATGGAACACGCGGATGTTGCAGCGGAAATCCTGCGAGAAATCCTCGATAGACACGGTAGTATCGTGACGGATACCCTTGCCAGGCAGATCCACGAGCTTCTTCTCCAGGTTGACCGCCAGACTCGTCTCAGCATCCTCACCTTCTTCGTAGATTGTGTTAGGTCCGATCGAAATAGTGGGCTCGTTCACGCCTAGTTTCTTCTTCAGCACTAGTTCCACCAAGCCACGCAGCAGCATGCGGTTGGTGTCCACAGCCAGCTCCACTGTGTGCTTGGAGCACACGTAGCACTGCGGGTTCGGCTTCGCGAGGGCACTAGGCTGAAGGAGCTCACCACGAGCATTCCACGAACGATTGCAGTGTGTGTATTTGCATGCTTCTCCCACCGGCTTTGCTGCCTCTAGAATACGAAAAGCCTTGAGCACCTGGAAACCAGCCACGATAGCGTTCGTAGTGGCGATAGCAGGGATGATGTTACCGGCAATGCCCTTGCAGCTGTACAACGACTCCATTGCAATGGAGAACACAGACGCACGTAAGTTTGCAGCAGCAGTCACGAACTCCATCGCAGTAGCGTCATCCTTGTCGAACTCGTAGCTACCCAGGTTGGCGCGAGACTGCTCACTGCTGAGGGTACGGACAATACACGACACAAAGCGGGTCACGCACTCCGAAACGCTCCACACGTCGCGGTCGTTCCAGATCTTCCCGTTATCGGTCTGCTTCTTAACCGCCTCATCGTTGAGACTAATTGCCTTCACAATGTTCGAGCCAACAATCTCCTCCAAGACCAACGGCTGTGGACGTTTGGCCGCCGCCTTGTACGTCTTCATCTCAAGCCTCTTCTTGATCTCAAAATCGAAAAGCCCGCGGAAGACGCCACATGCATACTCCTGTAGCTTAGTGACATCGTCGAGGTTCATGTCCGGTGAGCGTGTGCAGAGATCCATAAAGACCGATTTATCCTCGTTTGTCGGGTCCTCCCACAACATGGAGTCTTCCATCTTACCGAAGAGAAGCTTGTAGCACTCCTTGGCCCACACGATGCAGTGTACCATCTTCTCAGGTGTACTACGAATAGTACAGATCGGGTACTGCTTCTGCGTGACCTTGGTTGTGCACTCGTAGCATTCAGTCTCACCTTTCTTGATGACAAATACCTGGCCAAGGTAGCCCGTGGTGCCGCTCTCGATGAGTGGTATATTAGTGGCTAGACATAAACGATTCACGTGCTTACGCGCGTCCACGTTGTCCAGAGCGTTGAGCACGAGTGAGAATTGCTGGAAGTACTCGAGGCCGAACTGGCTGCTCTTAATGTTGCCATGGTGCGCCTTAATTTTGGCGCGCGGGTTGAAGGTCGTGGCGATTTCCTTGGCCACAAGCGCCTTAGACTTACCCACGTGATGCGACCGGAACAGGAATTGGCGATTTAGGTTCGACACGTCGATGGTGTCCAGGTCAATGAGCTCGATATCCTCGAAGCCGCTGAGCACCAGATTCTTGAGCAGCTCGCAACCAATTCCACCGGCTCCCACCACCAAGATCTTCGCATTTTGTACCTTACTGCGCAGGTCTTCTCCCTACACAGTTGAAATAGTAGAAGTAAGCGATAAATGCATTCATTTCCGGCGCCATAGCGACTATAGGCGCGCACCAAGACCGTCGCTAAGCTTCCCGCCATCGTCTTCGTTTCTGATGGTGAACGCCAACGAGCAGATCTTTACCGGTCAACCGGTTTCGTCACGGTATTCTAAATCCCAGTCTTTTCGGTGTGTACCACACTGGAAGAGGTGGAATTTCCCCCTTTGCTCTGGAACAAAGAAAAAGGCCGGCGGGCAAGTAGCTCCAAGCTCTCTTGGCTTGAGCTCTTCCTCTCTCCCCCTTCCTCACTCACACTCCGTCCGTACGTCTGGACAGTGCCCTTCTTGGTAGAAGAGTGTCGTCTTTCGCCCCACTTTATCTCGGGATCGGACCGTGCAACGCTCGCTGACACATTTACCGGTAATACCCGTCGGAACAGCATGGAGCAGCAGGACGCGCTGGTGGACGTGATTCGCGCTATCATCGGTCCACGCGACGTCTCGCGAGAGCGCATTCTGGAGCTGCTAGCACAAGCGGGTAATCACCCGAACAAGGCTGTGGATCTGTTCTTCCAGTTAGAGGCGGCTAATGGCGCGGAATTTAAAGTTAACGACGTGGAAGGCTCTGACGAGGAGGACAATGAAGACATGCCCTGGGCGGAGACGCCTGCGCTGCCTCGCAAGGCGCTGTCCATTGACGACGACGCTACTGCTGAGTGGACGCCTCAGGCTGAGGAACTTAGCGGACTCTTGGGCGGAGAAGTCAAGCGCGACGTCATTTTGAGTCTGCTTAACCGTACTAACAACGACCTGAATAAAGCTGTGGAGATCTACTTCTCGGAGAATGGAGCAGACGCTGATTTTGACGAAGGGAGTGACGAGGAGGACGATGCTGCTGAAAAGAAGACTATGCCGACGTCTGTGAGTAGCGAAAACGGGACGGCGCCCCCGTCATCTCCTTCTGGTTCTGCCAGGACAGTTACACCGCCGTCGGGAGCTGTGAAAACTCCACAGACGCCGTCTCAGTCTTCGGCTGCGTTGCCCCAGACTCCGTCAGCTTTGACGTCAATTGAGTCGCATCAGTTGACCCCGCTGTCGTCACCTGTTGCTAAAGATGCGTTGAATACTGAAGAAACAAAGGCAGCTGCGCCGATGGACAAGACGCAGACGGAAGAGGAGCTGTTAAATGGACCTGGGACGTATGAAGTGATCATGTCCAGCAGTAATTTCCGCTGGCAGATTGGCAACGTGTTTGGACGAGCAGTGGTGCAGCAAGTGCAACCTGGTGGACCTGCGGCACTAGCTGGTATCCAGAAGTCGGATGTCTTGCTTTCATTCCGCGAAACAGTGTTGAACGAGGAGAACTGTGCTGCTGTGGTGCAGCAGTTGTCCAAAGAGGTTGGTTTTGTCACTGCTACTTACTTTGCTTACTATTACCCAATGTACCCCTCGATTAACTCTACATTCTTCCGTTTTATATGCATTTCTAGCGTGTTCTCGTTCCTTCTGCGCTTCGTTTCCGTCGTGCGTCGGACTCACACAGTCCTCGGCATACTACACCAGCATCCAATGGAGTGACCCCAGCTGTGGCCACTGTGACAAAATCACCCCCACGGGACAGCGATGGCGATGTAGTGATGACACCGGTGGATGGCGACGCTGCTACTAAGGGTCCTGTTGACCCGAAATACGGTCTTCAAGTTCTGTGTCAGGCAGTGGAGTCTATGCAGGATGCTGTGGCTGGTCCTTCAGCTGTGGAGTTCAAGGTATTGGTGGATCTACTTCTGAATTCTGAGTTTAGTTTGGACCGTGCTGTGAACGCCTTCCTGAATGAGGATCGCATTGTGAGTGACTTCCGTGGAATCATTGGCTGGGATTGGGACCCGGAACAGCCCAGTTCTACGGTAATGGACGCCAACAAGCCCTACGCTGCGTCCATTCCTGCTGGACCACTAGGTCTTACGGTCGAAAACATCTTAGAGCGAACGATTGTTGTGGATATCAAATCTGGAGGTGCTGCTGAGCGCGCTAATGTAAAGCGGTCGAGCTGGCTCGTTGGTCTGAATGGCCAGCGAGTGACGCACCTGACGCATAAGGAAACCCTGCGGTTAATTGAGACCGCTACGCGACCGCTGCAGCTACAGCTTGTTATTGTTCCACCTAATGACTACAAGGCACTCCGCAGACAGTTGTCCATGAACATTCGTCAACCGAAAACGGAGCGTCCAATCCCTGAGCAGGATCGAATGTCCTTCCGTGTCTTCCAGATGAAAATTCACCAGGGTGTATTGGCCTTCCCGAAGATTGTAACCAAGGCTCTTTTCCAGTACCTCAGTACAGAGGAGTATCACCCGCCAACGATGGATTCGCAATACCCAAACCCATTGGACAGATTACTTCCGGAGAATGAGGCGTGGGACGCTGCTTTACTGCAAGATATTGAGACTATGGAAGAGGAGCGTGTCGGAGAAATGTGCGCTGAACGTCGATTCTTGCTGAACCTGTTTGCTTCCATTCATGACTATGATGATAAGGGTGAAAGTACTGTTATCAGGACGATTCAATTTCTTGGATGGCTCTCGGTGCGCACGGCAAAGATGCAGAAGTTTGTGGATACTAAGGAATCTGAATCTACTGATGGTGATCGTGTCAGCAAACGCCATCGTTATGAACTGTTGCTCGCGGTAGTGCTCCACGTCCTCGAGAGCTTATCGATTATCGAAAATCATGCTACATGGGACGTCATGGTGAATGCTCTTAAGATGCTGATCTTATCGTTGTCGGATGTCGACGTGAACAAGCTGTTCGTGCCGATGTTTGCACGGCTTAGCATTAGTTCGAGTCCCACGGCAAGAATTGTACCTGTGGCACTTCTTTCTATGGTTTATCCACATGTTGGTGGCGATGTACGCGTTCAGCTCCGTGGTATGCTTGACCGTATGTGCAACGATGACAACCCCCTGGTGCGTCGCGCTGTGACTTCGGTTATTGGTGATTTGGCATCAGCGGGTGGTTCTCCTGTGGCTTCATGGACAGTTCAGCTGCTAGAGAAGTCGACGGCCGATAGTCACGACATTGTTCGTATTTTCGCAGTGAAAGGCTGCATCACATTAGCCACCACCTTGCGTCGTCTACTTCTCGAAGATCAGAACAAGTCAAAGGAGGAGGATGAGCAGACTTTACGTCTGCTTTACTGTCAGATGGTGCCTATGGTGAACACATACACATCAGACTCTTCGTGGCAAGTGCGACTGGAGACCGCGCGGACCTTACCTGCGTTCTGCCGAGCATTTGGTGCCGAGTACACTGACGTTTTTGTCGATCATTTCGTGTCGATGGTTGGTGATCCGACTGTAGAAGTCCGTCGTGCTTGTGCTGAGGGAGCTTTTCTGCTTGGCGAGGCGCTTCGAGACATTGCTATACAGCAAACGGCTACACCCAAATCGGACGACTCAGCTACACAAGAAGTTAATAAGTCGAATGGCGAGAGCTCCGAGTTTGTGGTTGCTGCCCAAGTCAAATTTGTACGCAGCGTATTGCCCGCAACATACACGCTTTCTACCGACGTGTCCGTGGCTGTAAGATTGTCTCTGGCTCAATCGGTTGGTCGCTCACTGCAGTTCATCGGTAGCAACTACTACGACGAACTGGTCCCGATTTTCACGCAATTCTTGGATGAAAGTCAAGATGCAACTGTGCGAGCGTCGCTTTTGGAAGAGATGGCACGCTATTGTGACAGCTCATCGGATACTGTGACGGCCATGATTTTCCCTGCTATCCAGGCACTGCGTACCTCAGTTCAATGGCGAGTGCGTGTAAAATTTGTTCATTGCGTGGCTGCCTGGGCTGAACGTGATGACGGTGCTGCACTGCCTGCCGACTTTGCGGATGCGTGCTTGGAACTCTTGGGCGATGCAGTAAACGAAGTTCGTGCTGTGGTGTGCGAAAAGCTTCCCTCGCTGGGGAAGTCGTTAGGTAGTGAGTGGGTGGCTGAGAAGTGCGTTCCTCGGGTGTCAGTGTGCCTTCAGTCCACATTCCATGGGCGACTTACGGGCTTGTTGGCAGTGGAGCTCCTCGCTCCAGAGCTGCAGAAGATGGATAAATTAAGGGACGTCATCGAGATGGTGCTGGAACAGTGTACGTCCAAGACAGCGAACCTCCGCTTCCGCGCGCTGCGTACCCTCGGACTAATCGTACCGAGACTCAACGACCCTACAACCACTGAAAGCACTCTAGAGATTGTCCGACCTCTAGCTGTTGTGGAAACGGAAGCCGACCCGGATGTACGTGAAGCTGCTGAGGCTACACAGACGCTGCTTGAGGCCGTGCTGAACTAGTGAATTGAGTCGCCGTAAAGCTCAAATTAACCCTCCTATGAGATCCTGTCTTGAAGTGCAGATACTGAACGCTTACACCTTTTTTTTAGGTACTTGCCAGAGATGCTCCCTTGAGTTCGGTTTTCCATCGTTCCATTCTACCCAGGCAGCTATGAGTCGAGAGCCCGGAGTTCGTCCGCTCCCCTTCAGCACGGGAGGCTGGCGAAGACGTTCGCACTCCGAGAAGAAAGTTCCTGTCGAACTTGATTGCTCGAAGAACTCGCTTCAAGATTGTACTGCAAGTGTGCAGAGTGTGCAGCCGATTGCGCTGAAGCATGTAGTTGTTGTGTGGCTATCGAAGAACTGCATCGTGCTGATCTACTTTTCAGTTTCGTTGGCGCTGCTGGTTCTTCTGGTCTACTTGAGTTTCTTTGCTGCATCCATGGACGACGGAAGCCAACCCGATTTTCTTAGCTGTCGATCCTGGGGGTTTGGAACATCATGTGGTTTGTGGGGAGTGGACTGCCGCCCCTTTGAATCCGAGTGGATAGCATTCCGATGCCCCACACGTTGCACTCTAGGCAAGTCAATTCCTCATAATAGCTAAGACGAAACGCTTTAATTGATTCACTTGTGATGATTTATTGCAGATCAATCATCGTCAATGGCAGTGTTTGGATCAAGTCCGTACAGGTATAAAACTTAAATTGTAACTCTGGCCCATAACACCCACCTGACGTTTGCTACGCAGAGCCGATTCGAGAATCTGTCGAGCTGCTGCCCACGCTGGCGTTGTTGGCCCCAATGGTGGATGCGCTTTTTATCGTTTTGCCGGTAGGTAACATCAGTCTGACTGCGTCGTTTAGCTGTTCCTTGATCCTTGACGTGCCCATTGCAGGTGCTGCTGATGCATACTACCCATCCACAGCAAATATGGTGACCACGAAAAAATTTCTATCGTGGTTTCCCAAAACGATCGAATTCAAAGAAGCATCCAGCACCTACTGCAGTGATCTGTCATGGTGGATTCTCAGTGTGGGCTTTATTACCACGGCAGGTTTTGGTTTGCTACCCCGCGCGAGACTTGACGTTATGTTTTACTTGTTAGTCGCTTGGGGATTCTTCTACACAAGACTAGTTGGTCAGCCTTCAAGCCAGGATTACGCTGGTATCTCTATAAACTCTTTCGGCGAGGTGATGTTTTTACTTGCTGCAAGCAGTTTGGCATATCGATTAGCAGTATCAGACACGTTCTGCAGGTGGAAATCGCTGACCCTGAAGCGGCGATTTATAATGTGGACGCTCTGTTACGTGGTTCCGTATCATGTGATGATCAACATGAACCTCATTGGATACATTCCTTGGCTTAATGTCGATCTCGGAGGCTACGAAGAATTACACGCCAACGCTGGAACGTACGTTGTTTTCACTCTGGTGGGAATAGGAGCGGTTTTCTTAGCTTCCCAACTCTTCAGAAGTATGTATCTTGGTGGAAAGTGGAGGGTTTTTGTTGTGATGTACATGACAGTATTCGCACCAGTACTCTTGTCATGGGCGTTGTTCCCGTCAACATCATTCCATCTTCACCACACAATGCTAGGAGCTCTCATCATCCCCGTTACTTCCTTTCCAACGCCTGCTGCAGCATTTTCTCAGGCAGCAGCTATTGGTCTCTTTGTACAGGGCTATGCGAGATGGGGTTGGCATTCTTACCTCGATACCATACGTACGCATCTTTGAATGAATCATTGCAGCCATGAAGAAGCTAACTTTTTTTTCTATTGAAACAGCCACGTACTTGACAATCGCGGTTCCAGAAAAAGCTCCAAACACAACAAATGTGACATCTTCTTGGGTCAGGGTGGTATGGGAACCACTGGAATCTGTCCAAGCGTACTCACTCCAGCTTAATCGTGTTGAAGTGTACCGCGGTGTAGATACTTCTGCCGTCATCTCGAATTTGAAGCCGAACATGACCTACTTCATAGGTGTGGCCGGAGTAGCGAGCTGGGGTACCGACGGTCGAGTTGGTCCTCTATCCAACTTCACAACTCTCGAAGGATGACAACAAAGCTATCGCTAGCTTCAATCGCTAATAAAAAAAATGCTTTCACGTTCCTCGTACAGCTCCTTCAAATTGAAAATAATATCGCAAATCTTCTGATAGAAACTCGTGGATTATAATTCTGTCGTCAAAGCTCACTTTTACAGTGTCATTTTTGTGATGGAGTTGACATGTGCTCTTCGACTGTGCATAGCGCAGCTCCACAGCTCGGCGGTGGCGTTAGACATGCAGACTCGTAGCTATCGAGTGGGTCATGCGCATTTCAACCGTGCTCAAGTGGTGGGGGTACTGGTGAAGCGCAACAACTCGCACCTGAAGCTTGGTTCGTAAAAAAAAAAACCAAAAAATTGCGTTCCGCATTACAAAAACTAAGTGGAAATTTGGCTACTGGAGACGATGGCACAGGGTTGCTGGATGTCAAGCTTGTGACGAGTTTGAACGGGTTTAACCAGAAAGAACTGCACTTAGGAGCACTGGTGAGTTGTTAAGTGGTTGGGATGACAAGAGTTGGTCGTTACGGAATATTTATTGATTAAGGTGGAGTGTGTCGGAAGTATCGACGAGCTGCAGCCATCGTCCGATATGACGCGTAGTCGGCGCTGGATGAATGCAACGCAGTAAGTTTTTTGGTCCTGAGTGGATTCATTGGAACTTTGCTGACGAGTTTTGTTGCAGTTTTCATGAAGTCCACGATCGTAACGTTGAGACGCTGAGGATGCTCGAAGTAATGCACCTGTAAGTGTTGCCGAATACTAGTATCTCAACAGTGATGATATTTATTGGTGTGTTCATTTTCGTTGTGAAGATACCAGAATGACTATGCCGTTCCTCATTCTTCACCGCCAACTCAACTTGAGCTACTGGCATTCCCGCCAATACACGAGAGCAGTGCAGGACGGAGCGCTGTATCTGGTTCTGAAAGCAATAGTACGACTGTACAACAGCATGCAATCGGTCATCAAGCTAGTAAGCCTGCTGCAGCTGCGACTCTAATCGAGAAGCCTTGGGAGCAGCAAAATGTCGGTGTTCCTGGTCTGGATGCTGCCATTCCTCCTGCAGACTACCAGTTTGCACTTCCAGAGAGAGACCATCAGCTAATCGAGCAAGGATCAAAGTCGCTTGAGATTCGGTACGTGTATAGAATCAAGGAATACCTCACCAGTCGTGTTCGCGGTTTTGATTGGACTGTGCATGCAGATTGAACGACGCTCCTTACTCGATTATCCACGTGAACGACCGGATTACGATTAACGGGAAAACTTTAACCACCGTTGTAGCTATTCGCAAATATGCGAGTCTGCAATCCGTTCTGGAGGCTGAAAATGTGAATGCACTCCTTCCACAAAGCTCCTTTGTTGGCGCTGGGACCTTTAATGCGGCAGCCGCAGCGGAGCGTCATTATCGTCAGTTTTTTAGCGCCGAAGAAGAAGAGCACTATGGCCTCATAGTTTTTCAATTGTCCGTAACCTCGTCTGGGCCAAAATCCCAAGAAGAATGGAGCGGTAAGTTGTGCGCTTTAGTATATCAAGGCTGAAACCTGGGAACTCTAACGTTGATCGACCTGTTACCTCCGCAGCACTGGTTCTTCGACAATTGGAAGCCAAGAGAGATGCTGGATGCTCGATAGCAGACCTGCGCTTTGCTTTTCCTTCTCTGCCCGTCGACCAGATCACGGAGATATTGACGAATGTAAGTGTGTGATGATAAAACGCCACCGTCCTTATTGCTAATGGCTTGTCTGGTGTATGTAGCTGCAATTTGATGCGTTGGTCATTTGTATGAACGACAAGTATCGTCTAGTGTGATCAGCCTGATGATATTGCGAGTCGGGTAGCTCAGCCTCATCGAGGCATTATTATAGCGTTAATGTTACTTCGAATAGCGATTTTGAACCCATGGATGTTTGGCTGCATCTTCCAAGCTCATTCGTTCGCTTGGTTTCCGCTTGAGTAGTCCAGCAATGAAACTCTTGGCGCTTTCAGATACTTGTGGGATCGATGGGAAATGATAGTCGGCGAGTTCGATTCGCTTGTACATGTCCATTTGATTCTCGCAGTAGAACGGTGTTGAGCCGATTAGCAATTCATACGTGAGCACACCAAGGCTCCATGAGTCTGTCCGACAGTCGTAAGGCTCTCCCAACAACATTTCGGGGCTCAGATAATCTGGAGTCCCGCAGAACGTCTTGCGAAGATTGTAAGGCTCCGGCGCATGAACCGACCACCCGAAATCAGCCAGCTTTATGGTTTTGTTGTACCCTAACAGGAGATTTTCAGGCTGTAAGGTATATAAACACGCTGTTAGTCTTGCACAGAGAGAACATCTTCGCAACGAGGGGCTTACCTTAATATCCCGATGAATCACATTGCAGCTGTGGCAGTACTTAAGAGCTTCAACAACTTGAGATACGTAATGCGCAGCCACCGCGTCGGAAAGGTATTTTTCCCTGGCCAACTCTTTGTAGAGTTCTCCGTAAGGTGCATATTCAAGCACCAGATAAACGCATGCGTCGTCGTAAAAGTAGCCGTGCATGCGTAGAACATTGGGGTGCCGAAGTCGCACTTGAATTTCAACCTCGCGTTTTAAATTACTTGCACCGCCATCACGCGTCAGTGGCGACTTGAATAGAACCTGTGCACAAAAACTGGCTTAGCATTGGTTCTAGCAGAGCGATAAAGCATTTTGTAAATACATGCACAACGAGGCTATCATGCTTACCTTGAGAGCGACAGTAAGGTTTGAGCACTTTTCCTTAGCTAGATAAACGTTGCCGAACTTGCCTTGACCCAGATTTTTCGTCACCATAAAGTCATCCATCTCCCACTTGGGATTCCCTGCTAGCCGCTCGCTGAGAGATTGAGTCGGTTTTGAATCGTCCAGTGAGTAGCGGCTGGATAGGCTTTTTCGAGACTTTGGAAGTTCAAGGCTAGACCTAGCTGGCTGCTGCGCTGGATCTACCGGTACACGTTCGGGAAAAGGCAACTTGCGATCGGGCCGCGAGTTCTCGACTTTTGCCCTGTTATTCTCACTTTTAGTCTTCGCATCTATAAGCAGAGGTTGCTGAGTCTCCCCCTTGACTCGCAACGCATGAATTGACAACGATTTGTGTGGCGTAGAATTCGGGTCACTCTTTGTATCACTAGAAACCGTGTGTCGTACACGCAGTGTTGTACTGATACTGCCAAGCGAAATGGTTTCTCTCGACGACGCAGGTTCCTCCTTCACGCTCTCGTTTTTATAAGGAGTCACAGATCTCGCGCTTTCGTCGCTCTTTCTCCGCTGTGCCAGAACACTAATACGTCGCGGACCCGGTACAATCTCGGGTGTAGCGCCATCAGTATCTCCGTCCATACCTCCGTCATCACTTTCCTGTTGGAGGAGCCGCATGGGGGTCAGCACTCGCTGTGCGCCTCCAGCCAGCGACGGTGCATCGGAGCTTGGCGAGATATAACTCCGTCTTCTCCGTCTCTTCGTGCTAGCAGGCAGGTCAGCACTGCCCAAGCCTCTGTCAGTTGGTGTACTATCCACTTCCGTCCTGTTGCCGCTGCTAGTTTTGGCTGGCGTCTTGTAGAGCAGCGTCTGACTCTTCTCAAGCTCATCAATGGGCTCTAATGGCGCCGTCTCGCGCGATATCCGGCGTGCTGCAACTGGAGCCGATGGCTGCTGCATTTCTCGCCGCTTTGGAGCCGCAAGCGAGCGCACTGGGGCTCCTTGGGTGGTTCTATAGTGAAACATTAAGCGATGAGACTTAGAATGGCTTTGTTGTTACACTTAGAGAAGGTTTGTGAGGGAGCTCTACCTATTTGAAAGCACGCGGCGAGCAGGACGAGCTGCCTTGGCGGTCTCCTGCGTCTCCTGCTGCTTCTGGCGCCTCCTCTCCTCGCGCCATCGCTCCAGAGCGAGCCGCCGACTCTCCGCCATCGCTAGAGATGGCTTGTGTTGAGTTGATACGGAAAAAGAGCGCGCGAAATTTGAACTTGGATTTGCCGCGCTTTCTTTTATGAATTTCTATTTCTGAAATGAAATTTGAAGCTGTTCAATTTTTATTTTTAAAAAATCCAATTCATTTTCGTTTTTTTTTCTCCTAAGATTCACGTAATCTACTGTGAACGAATGGTCATATTTCGTTTTCTCGTCCTGGTCTTATCGGGCAGACCGACGAAAAATCTTGCCTTGTCGGATGCACGACAACGTCGTCGTGCATCAATAATAGACTCGCGATGGTGGTAAGGTCGACTTCACTTGGCTTCGATCCATGCGATTGTACTTCCAGCGGAATGTGTTGGTTACCGTGTTTTTGCATCAACATCATCGAGGCGATCGACCTACTTGTAGTGCAAGATGAAACTCCAAAAGATTGTCCAGCTAGCTGCGGGTACTACCAATTCACTGTTCAAAATATCAGTCTGCCTCGAAGAGAGCTGAAAGAGTAGCTGAACTCAAGTGGGCTGACCATGAGCAAGGCAAGGTCGAAAGGCAGCGTCAGCACATTCGCATCGGCCATCAGCGGCGGTCGTCACTTCTCACTGTCGAAGAACAAAGCCAGAGTTTACTGCGTGAACAATGAGTACGCAGAAGCTAAGGCAACGACCAAGGAAGAGTCGACACTTTTCACTGCAAAGAGGCTACTACTTGGTGTATGGGTGTGTGTGGGGCTGGTGCCATTGTTCTTGCAGGCCCGAAGCTACATCAAGTTCGTGACACCACACAAGATTACCCAGGACTTGGTCGTCCCGCATGGCACTGTTGGTGAGACGAGTAATCTCGGGAAACTCTGCCCTGTTGAAGGATTGATGGTGGCTGGGGCATGGTGGAATGTTGGAGTAACTCATTCCTACAATAAATCGACTGGGCGAGTCTGCCACTTCGTCGTGCCGCAGTATAATATCCACGGAGCATATCGCTTAGGAACCGAGCGAGTAGCTCCGTCGTCCACAACTCCAGCGAGCTGTTCAGGTGAGAGTTACGAATTCCGACACTACTTTTACCATGGAAGCATTGGCTACTACGGATTCTACGAAGAAGCATCGGGAACGTACTGCGCAAATGATCTGACATTACACATACGTTACGTTAGGGTAAACGGGCTCGGTACGTACGATAGTAATGGAGTGTGGCTTGCCGACGATACCGGGGATTTAACCTACAGGCGGTCGTATTGGTACGGATTCTTCGGAGCAATCTGGATCGCGTACCGTTCCATACTGATGCGACGCAGCTACATCTCATGCAAGCGGTACGGGAGAAGATGCGACCACCTGCAAGAGAGAATTCGATTCCAAGACGCAGTTGTGTACGTTCAAGAGAGTCTGCGACTGTCGGCACATGGTGCGAGAAACTACCATCGTGCGGCGCTGTTATACTTACTTGTCGAAGGTCTGATGAGCGACCTCTTCATGCTAATCGCTCAAGACGGGCTTTTTGCGAAGGTGCAGTATATTTCGCTGGGGTACAATTTATCAGGAGTGCTCTCGATGCTGTTCGAAATGATCGAAAGTATGCACTGGCTGGGAGAAAAGACGCGCTGCTTGGTCAAGCGCCTTTTGTTCAATTACGAGACGTCCATGATGGGCGAACTCCTCTGTGCGGGGGTGATGCAGTATTATCTCACGTCACTTAACCGATCTAGCCTCAAGCATTCGAAAGCAACAGCTGAAGCAGTCTCGCATTACGTGTGGAGTTTGGTAGGGCACGGAATTATTGTCCTTGGAATTGTTGCTGCTATCACGTCTGTAAGGGCAACCGGAGCACTCATTACAATTCGACGGACTTTTGGTTCTTTCAAGGTGCTCACAGCTCCATGCTGTGTTGACACAACACTCGGAGTTCGCTCCAAAATGATACTTTTGGGCGGATATGTTTGGGAGGACGATAAACTCAGCTACAAGGTCGAGACTCTGAAGTCTTTCGGGATTATGAAAATGCTGGAAGAAGACGACACACAATTTCTAGTTCTCAACAAACTCCACTGGGTATCGAGCCCTCGACACGATTCTGTAGTTATTGGGGAAGTCCATGGCCAAAAGGTAACACCTTGCACCGAGCGACCGTGTACGGGGATAGTGAGTGTCTTTGAATACTCGCTTGGAGGCCCGGTATGAACAGTGTTCATAGAACACACCATAGCAACTAAACACTTTTACGCGATTGTACTCGTAACGTAACAACAAAAAGGTATTTCTTGAAGCCCACATGCCACTCACTATCATTTCCTGTAGTGATGAATGTTTCAACTCGTACAGTTTAACGCCTAGAGACGTGATTTACTGCGAGCAATTTCGTCGCGAATCGGACGCAGCAATTCGTGCAAAGCCACCTTGTCCGACGAATGGTTCAGAGGATCGTGCTGTGCAGACTCGTACAGAGCCTCGTA